ATGAAAAGATGTTGTTGGAAATAAGAGAAAAAGGATATTCAGTTACAAGGCTAGAAACACTCCCAATAAAAGGACTTACACCCCATTTGGGTCGGGGAGGCTTATAACGACCTAAGTGCACTAGACAATCATCTAAGTGGAAATTTATGCTACACAAGGGCTTCTCCTTAGGACATGCAAATAATGTAGTTATCTAGAGTTGTCCTTAGATATTGTGGAGGTTTTATTTTATGAATTGGGTAGAAGCTATGCTATGCAACCCTTTTTAAATCCCACCTGAAGGCAATACAAGAAAGTAAAAGCAGGTTTTGAAAAATCTTGACAAATTTTACCCTAAATTTTATATTATCTCAATCTTTTATGACAATGATTTTTTTAGTAGAAAACTTATAATTTTAAAGTTTTTAATGATCCTAAGTTTTAATTTTTGTAGCATCCAATGACATCCAGAAATAAACAGAGAAAACAATCCAAGCATGTTATCATGTTAATAAAGCAAGAAAACAAGCCAATTAAAATAATAAAAAAGGTCGATGTCTCTAGCTTGGCGACATATCCCAAAAAAGAAAAATGTGATCAGGCTCTGCATAAGTACATGACTGGTTCTAATTCTATATATAAATGAGATTTATAATTAAAGTACGGGACACGAGCAAACAGCTCTTGGTTCCCATCACGTGGTTCCTCCGGTATAGTACCTCAAAACTCATACACGTACCTTATTTATAATGCAACTCTTGCAAGACTCTAAAAGGTACATCAGGAAAAATAAAAAAAAACTCCACCTGCATGAAGACAATATTAGCGGGAAAACCAAACAAGCATGCAACGTGTATGAGCTATGCATGAAGGGAGAGTTGAGCAACACCTGCAGAAAAGGGTTAGTAAAAATCATTTTTATTGAATCTGTGTGCGTGCATATATACGACGATTCCCTTTTAAGAAGTCCGCTCTAATATACTACCGTGCAGATCAAAACAAACACAAAAGCACAATAAAAAGCACAGAAGTGATGCATAACTAGAACAAACAATCCAGCAAATAATAATAGCTAAAGTAGTTGAAAATACTACCCGACACGCTAGTACTGCCTTGACGCACTATCAAACAAGAAGTCTCATAACCAGCTTCTAAGTGCTCAGGATAAGTCTTCGGGTATGTATGACTTTCACGGGATCGTCACACCGGTCTCATCCTAAATATCCAATAGATCTAAAGAGTGTTACCCATGATGAATTTGAAAATATTTGGCCTCACATATGACCTAGTTTGCTACATGTGTAATTTTGAGATTATGATGAATGTAATGAGTAGAAATATATATATAAATGAATGATCATTAAGACATCAATATCAACATGGGGTCACTCGCCTATTGAATCTGGCTCGCTATCAATACATAGATGCAAATGAAAATGCTGATGCAAACAATCATAGATATGATTTCGGTCCCCCCTGAAAAAGGTTCTATCAATATGATTTCGGTCGATCCCAGTGTTCCGCTTGACTCCTACACAGCTGAAGCCAGATGGGACATTGTTCAGACAGCTTTCGAAGAAAATATCAAACCAGATTCCAACTAGCTCGGTATAAGCTGCCATGTAGAATTCAGAGTCTCTTTCCTATTGAAGGATATTAGATTTTGTCTTTTGTTTTTTTTACCATTGATATAAAGAGGGGTTATCATGTAAGGTCACTGTCAGTGGGTCTCAACCCTCCCCACCACTATAAAGCAAGAAAGAAAAGGAGTTTGTCATTTTCCAAAGTCTATCAGTATTTGAAATATCACTCAAAATGAGAAATGTTTTGTTGTTCATTCTCTGCAGACAATCCTACATCGAATGAAAAAAAATTTACTCAGACGTTCAAAGTTCAATCAAGAGATGGGTAACTCAAAATGGGGTCACTCGTCTATTGAATCTGGCTCGCTATCAATACATAGATGCAAATGAAAATGCTGATGCAAACAATCATACACAAGAGTGGTGAGGGTGAGTGTGTCGTGGAGGCAGTGACTCAGAAATGTGGGTATACCATGGAGCAGTGACTGGAAATAATGGGCGTGTCGTAGAGATAACAAATTTAAGAATGGAGCAGTGACCGGAAATGATGGGCGCGTCGTAGAGGCAGTGGTTCAAAGGATGAGTGTGCTGTGAAGACAGTGACTCGAAAATAATAGGTGTGTCGTGGAGGCAACAACCCAAATGATGGGTATTTCATGAAGGCAGTGACCCGAAAGAGTGGGTGTGCCATGAAGCAACAACTTAAAGGATGAGGTGTGCCACAGAGGTGATGACCCAAAACGGTGGGCCTGCTGTGGATGCAATGACTCAAAGAATAAGTGTGTCATGGAGGCATCAACTCAAATGATGGGCGTGCCATAGAGACATCAACTTAAGCACAACTCAAACATGCATGATTTTAGACATGCAAGGTGACTTGCAAAATAGACATGCGAGTGCACTAATGTAAGTGCAAACAACAATAATGCCAGGTATTATGACACGGAGATATCGTAGAGCAAACATATGGAGTAGAGTGCCCATGGAAGGTGCAAGTACTCGATTTGGGCATATAAGGGCATATGCCCACAGGTGCAAAATATAGGTGCAAGTGGTGAATATGCTAATGCAAACCTTGCAAAACTAACATTAAGCAAGTAAAATTGGATGTTCGACATGCTCGATCGACCGGGGTGGTCAATCCAGGGCAATGCAATCAACAAACTCAGTTAGGCAAAGGTGGATGGCTGGACCAAAGTGGTTGATCAGCTGAGTCAGGGCAATCGATCAAAACTAAGTGATCAGTTGGGCTGATGCGGCCAGTCAAACCACAGTGATCGATCAATCGGGTCAAGGTGACTGGTTGAACCACAATGCAAGTCGGATCGTGCAAAGGCAATCGATCGATCCAATGCGCTATGCCGGACGGGTTGGGGCAGTAGGTCAAGGCAAGTGTTTGCCGACCAGGCCAAGGCAGTTGGTCGACGTAAAGTGCAATGTGTAAAATGCAACACGTGAGAGGCAATACAATAACAAGTCATACTTGACTAAGCTCTCACATAGTCACCTCCAACTATGGCGACGAATCGTGGAGCACTCCATTCTCTTATTTCTCGTGGAAGAAGTTTTTCACCATTCATTGGGTCGACTAGCTAGATAGTTTATTTCATCATACAAACCTCCCACGATCTTATAGAATATGCTAGCTACAAAGCTTTTCTAATTTCTCGAGGTCCAGCTATTCCAACCCTTTAAAGGAAGGTTGAAAGTGTCAATGCTGTGAGAAATTGAGATTCTAATCCATTAGGATTTAGGTCTAAAGCTTGCAACGGGAAGTCACTCGGCTTCGCAGAGGATATGGCCACACATGTAATTCTTACCCTTAGGCTTCCTCTAGGAAATAAATGATCAATCAATAGGCGTGTGTTCGTGCCGACAAGTGTCGACGGCCAACATGCCTATTGACCAATCAAAAGGCATATGGTTAGGTCGGCCGATATCGTTCTACCAATCAAATCATTTGACAATGGGTGATTGATTGAATCAAACGATACCAGGCGGCTGGTCTTACCAGTCTCGTGTGAGTGAACAAACCCACAACCACCTAGTAAACTATACTTCCAGGGCTCGCTAAGAAAGAAAAAATGAAGAGGGTTTTAGGGAATCTCACAAACACAAAGATTGCATACGTCTTAAGCTTGTGTCGTTATTGAAGCTCTCCTAACAGTATAAGGGAAGCCCACCCTTCCCTAAAGTAATGATGAAGCTCTCTTTTAGACAGAGAATCCTGCGGCATGCAATTCGTGGGCAAAGCATCGAGGTAGAAGGGTGGCTTCTCACGAGTTCGAGAGAGGGGTATAGCCCTTTAGGGCATTGAGTGAAACATAAGTGGCTTTATCCCCTTATATGTTATTTTTTATTTTAAAATTTTTGTAATTAAAAGCGTCTTAATTTATGTGTTATTGCCTTGTGCACGCAATCTCAGCAACACGGGCATCCTTCCGAGGTAAAATTGATGTTTCGAACACGCTTGGACAATCTGTTTCATCATCTGATGTCTTATTGGAAAATTCATCGATGATTAAGGCAATTCAAGCTCAATTCGTACACTGGCGTCCAAATAAAATTCGTTAGCTAGTCGAAGTTGTCTGACTGATAAAGTACCGACCAAACTTCACTTAAGAGAAAACCAAAGTCTAGCAGACTAGATTCCGACTGCGTAACCTTCAATACGCGTTGAAGGATCTTAAATGAATATCTTGCACTCTGGTGATTAACACATAGATCAAACATTGTTCTATGTGTTCGAGCGGACATCCTATACTCGCGACATTCAAAATTGATGCTAATAGATCAATCAATATTTTTTGAACAACCATCTACCACCCACATGACTAATCATTACCATAACTTTCAACAAAAGTCTCTACGACAATCTGACTCAACCATCACTGTCCAAATATTTACATCAAATTACTGTTTTCATAATAATCGACTATAACCTCTCCTCTCTATTTCGACTATTATTGCTAAAATATTGTATACATTAATTTTGTAATTCCATATTCTCTAATCGAGGAGAAGAACGAGTCTATGTATTAAAAAAATGAATTAACATACTGATGATAACAACATAGATTCTTTTTTTCATTGTGGTTATTTGGGATTATGCCTTCATTTTTTTTTAAAAAAAATATTTCACATTTAACATATTGCATTAAATCATTATTTTCTTAGCTTAATTTTCCCATTCAATGTAGAAATTCATCCCACCTCTCATTCTTATTTTATTATTTATTTAATTCCTAATAATTTAAATATTCCTGGAGGAAATACGAATTCAGAAAAAAATTAAAAATTTTAAATTAAAAATAAGGTAAATTTAATTCCCCTTTTAAATGAATAAAGCCAAAAAAATCACTGAGAACGCCGAGGGCAAAAAAGTATTTTTAACACAAAACTGCCCCATTTTTTGGCGCCAAGCCCACACTCTTCCCGCCGAAAACCCTAGCCGAGAAGGCTTCATTGGATTGCAGGACGGCGATAGAAGGAAGGCTGCGCCGGAAGGAGCATCCGAGAGATGGACGGCTTCAGCGGCTTCTTCGTCGACGAGAAAGCTGTTCGCGTTGAGAATATCTTCCTGGAATTCCTCAAGAAGTATCGTCCTGCCATCTGATTTTATCCTTTTACAGTTTTTTTTTTTTTTGTTTCAGCCTCAGATCTCAATTTCGACTTCTGCAATTTCTATGAAAGGTTTAAGCTTGATCCGAATGCTGTCGATCCCTTCTATGACTCGGAGATTGAGGCAATGAAATCCAAGGAATCGACCACCATGTATGTGGACTTCACCCATGTCATGCACTTCAACGATATCCTGCAAAAGGCCATCTCCGAAGAATATCTCAGGTACATCTCCTCTCTTCGTTTTGCTTTCTTTTTTATCTTTCATTTCTTTCTCGAGAGTCCTGATTCCTGGAAGTCATGCAGATTTGAGCCCTATTTGAGAAATGCTTGCAAGAGATTCGTCATGGAGCACAAATCAGGGGAGAATAGAGCTGCTATAATTTCCGACGATAACCCTAACAAGGACATCAATGTTGCTTTCTACAACATCCCGTTGTTGAAGAGGTTGCCTTTAGCTCGACATTGGTAATTGAACTTACAGTTTCCTCCTTTGGTTAGTTTGTAGCAAATTGTTATCATCATTGCAGATTGAGAGATTTGACGACTTCTGAGATCGGGAAATTGACTTCTGTGATGGGAGTAGTCACCCGAACCAGTGAGGTCCGGCCTGAGCTCCTTCAAGGAGCTTTCAAGTGCATGGAATGTGGAGGCATCATCAAGAATGTAGAGCAGCAATATAAATACACTGAGGTAGAATTACACACTCTCTCTTCTTTTTATTTTCTCTCGTTCTTATCCGAGACAAAATTGCTATGAAGTAGAATTATACCATTGATGGCGCAATTTGTTTTTTTTTTAATTTATTTTCCCAACTTCTGGTGCCTGCGGATAGAGTTTTCTTATTATTGTTTCAACCATTTGAAGCCCATAATCTGTATCAACGCGACTTGTCAAAATCGCACTAAATGGGCACTACTTCGGCAAGATAGCAAGTTCACAGACTGGCAAAGAGTAAGGATGCAGGAGACATCTAAAGAGATACCTGCAGGTTCTCTTCCTCGATCGCTGGATGTAATCCTTCGACATGAGATTGTCGAGCAAGCAAGGGCTGGAGACACGTAAGCTTACAGCTTTTATTCTATATAGGTGAATCCAAAGTGACCAACTGTTGTTGTTAATCTTTTTGTTTTTCAATTCAGCGTGATTTTTACAGGTAGCGTGGTTGCTATACCAGATGTGATGGCATTAACTTCGCCAGGCGAGAGAGCCGAGTGCCGGAGAGAAGCATCTCAGAGGAGAAATGCTGCCGGCGGTAATGAAGGTGTTAGGGGACTTAGAGCTTTGGGAGTGAGAGATCTATCATACCGCCTTGCTTTCATTGCAAATTCAGTGCAGGTTTGATTTGAAGTTCATAAAAAGTTTTTATTTTTTTTGCATAGTTATGTTTATGAAGAGTTTTAGCTTTTATTATTTCTGTGATAGTTGGCTGATGGTAGAAACAATAGCGACATTAGGGACAGAAGGATGGATGGTGATGATGTCGACAGGCAGGAATTCACGGTATATTGTTGTCACCAGCATTTTGTTTAATTCTCATTAAAAAAAAAAAAACAATGCAAAAATTAGTTTTTATCTTTTCCATGCAGCTATATAAATGTGTTGCCATTAATATTTTCAGTCCTCATAAATTAGCTTTATATCATTAAGCATTTATCACGCTTTAATAAAAGGAGCTGTGGTGTTCTTTTTAACTAAAAGTAAAAATGAAGCTTTTTCCATTTGTAGTTTTATAACTTGATGTGGTAACCAAATAAGCTTTTATTTGATCACAGTAAATAGTAATGATGGAATTTTAATCTATTACTTGGTTTTAATAGTAAAATTACTTGCGGTTTTCACTTCTCATAAATATTGCTTTTGATTATGTTGCATTCTCAATTTTTTTTAAGGATAAAGGCCTGCCACATGAATTAAGTTTGAATGTTAAAATATATAAGCTTCTTAGAAGTATTATGCAAGAACAAAATAACTCAGAGATTCGAAGGTTGAAACTAGAATGAAGTTGGCGAAGTTGTATGGATTCAAGTGCTGGGTACTAAAAGGGTTGTTAATATTTAAGTGTAATAGAAATGATAACACTAATATGATTTTGGCAAAATTAGGAAGGTTGAGTTAAGAAATGATTTTATCTAAAAAAGAATCTGAAATGGGCACTGGTTTAGAAATGGAAAAAAATGAAAAATTTAAAAGATTTACCAACATGTGAAAGCTTTGAAACCAAAATTGTCATAACCCTCCGTACGGTCGTTTCTGCGCATGCTCGCTAAAGATTTTTGGCCAGTTTCATAGTTTTCTATTGATATTAGCTCAACTTGTGCGCAAGTGTAAGCCTCATAGTCTCTTCTATGCCAAGAGATATCCCATTCAAAGGAGACGATTCTTTTTTTTTTATTTAAATTCAAATTGAATAGCCAAGCCTTGTTTTTTGAAATATCAATACATGTATGAATATATTTAACATAATCAAGTTAGAGATCAACCTTTCAATGATTTGTTGTTTAAGCCATGCAACCTCATAACCTTGATGGGTAAATAAGCTTACATAGAATCTAATATCCATACTCTTCCATAGCCTTGATGGATAAATGGGCTTACAGAGAATCTCATTTTACTGTAAATGATTCCTTCATTTATGCTGTTTTTTTTTTCCTACTTTTGACTTGTATAGTTTATATGCTGCTTTTTACTGACTTATTTTGGCATTCTATGACAGCAAGAAGAAGAAGAAGAGGTTGTGCGAATGAGAAACACCCCTGATTTCTTTAACAAAATAGTTGACAGCATTTGTCCGACAGTTTTTGGTCATCAGGAGATAAAACGAGCTGTTCTTCTTATGCTGCTGGGTGGTGTGCACAAGTTAACCCATGAGGGTATCAATCTTAGGGGAGATATTAATGTCTGCATCGTTGGAGATCCTAGCTGTGCGAAGTCTCAGTTCCTTAAGTAAGCTTACTGACATTGAACTTGTTTTTTCATGCATACCACTCAATTCCTTTGTATTTACATATCTAACATCTAGACTTCAATTTTTACATACACGCCACCTTGCATATGCATTAAAAGCTATATTTTCCTTTTTTTTTGAAGTTAAAATGATGGTATTTTGGATGTGATATGAAAATTTTGGGTGCTGTAAATGTAAAAAGTAGAGTTTAGGTGTTAGATATGTAAATATATTGGAATTGGCTGGTATGTTTGTAAATGCTCCTTTTCCTTACAAATGGTATTCACTGCACAACCATTCTGTTCTATTACTTGAATTTGAAGTACCATTTGTCTCAGCAATCTCTTTTGCTTCCTACAAATGCACTATAAACTTAACCATCAGCTCAATTTGTTTGCATTTTGCCATTTTCTCTGTAAAATTTCAGTTATAGGCTATTTTCTGTCATTAAAAAAAATTGCATTCTATTCTTGTCGTTTTCTGCTGAAATACTCAGGTGTTGTCTGGTTTTGTTAGACCAGTTAAATCATGGTCTTTTTTGTAAGATTGAGTGGAGTCATTAGCTTAAGCTTATCTTTTTAATGGCAACTTGTCCGCAGGTACACTGCTGGCCTGGTTCCTCGATCTGTTTATACATCCGGTAAATCTTCATCTGCTGCAGGATTAACAGCAACTGTTGCCAAGGAGCCAGAAACTGGCGAGTTCTGTATTGAGGTAATGATGCAAAAAATCCAAGATTCAGGTTTGTTTGGGACAATTTTCTGCTTGCATTGAGTTTCAGACCGGATCACAATTCTGTTTGAGGAATTGTTTTTTTGGCCAATTCTTAAAAATCTGGTGGTGAGAAGCCAATTTTTGCAACAAGATCTGATTAAGTGTGGTGACAATAGAAAGCTGCTACTTAAACCTTTTTGGAAAATAAAAATATTTATAATTCACACTCAACTTTCTAAAAATATAACTATACCATCATATTTTCACAATCATATTTATGAATTACTGAGGCCGTCCCAAATAGACCCCCAATCATAACATATTGCCAAAACTATTTTATCACTTTACCCATGGTGCTGCTGGCATTTTTCTTTGGATATTTTTGTTGGGAGAACTAGGCGAGTTGTCTAGCCTTTAATGTTTCCTTGTGCCGTTAACTTATCTTATCGACATGGAACTTCTCTCTTGTTTGTGTTTTTTAAATGACCATGTAGCATCACTTTCTGTGAATGTTTAAAGGACTTGTTAAATTTCATTCCAATTTCACGGCGCAGTGCTTAATGAATTTAAATTTTTCAAAATTCTTCGATTAGTTATGTCTAAGTTTAAGCTCACTTGATTCATTTGTAATATGACTTTTGGCAGGCCGGTGCACTAATGCTTGCCGATAATGGAATATGTTGCATTGATGAATTTGATAAAATGGACATCAGGGACCAGGTGATTATTTTCCATCCAATTTAGCAAATTTCTTACTGTCATATAATTCACACTTTTTGGACTTAGGTTGCCATACATGAAGCAATGGAACAACAAACAATAAGCATTACAAAAGCAGGCATTCAAGCAACATTGAATGCCAGAACATCCATTCTTGCTGCAGCAAATCCTACTGGTGGACGTTACGACAAGTCAAAGCCTTTGAAGGTCAGCATATGCAATTTGAATATTAAGGGGCATTTACATACATATCACCCAATTCTTATGTATTTACATATCCGACCCCTGAACTTCACTCTTTGCATTTACAACACCCAAACCTTTCACATCACATAAAAAATACCACTATTTTGATTTTTAAGAGGTGAAATAGGTAGGAATTGAGTGGTATGTATGTAAATCTTTTATATGGAATGTGATACTGTTAAAAGAAAGAAAATAACGCTTATTTTTATGTCTTGTTCTTTTGAACAGTATAACGTGGCTTTACCTCCAGCTATTCTTTCGAGATTTGATTTAGTATATGTTATGATCGATGAACCGGACGAGAACACCGACTACCGTATCGCCCATCATATTGTGAGAGTGCATCAGAAACACGAAGAAGCATTATCCCCTTCTTTCACCAACGCGGAATTGAGACGCTATTTAGCTTATGCGAAGTCATTAAAACCTCAGGTTCATTCATTGGCATCTTTATTTAATTACATTTGTTTTAAATAAGATTTATGTGTATATATACATATTTATATATATATATATATAAAGAATGGTCAGAGGCTATGATACGAGCCCCCAACTACCCTCATGTGCTTAATTACTCAATCTCGTACTGCAAGGCAGATGCACTCAAGAGAGATCAAACTCGTGACCCCAAGGGATTTATGCAAAACTGCACTTCCAAAGAGTCACGGCGAGCAACACACACCTCTCTCTCCCTATATAAATATTCATACACACACACACACACACATGAAAGTTTATTTCTTTTTAACAGTTAAAATGATGATATTTTTTATTTGGTATGAATGATTTGGGTGCTATGAATAAAAAAAAAAGTAAAATTTAGGTGTTACATTGGTAAACATATAGGAATTGGGTGGCATGTATGTAATTGCCTCTCTAAATAAATAGGTGGCCTATTTCCTAATGAGATCTTTTTGTTGCAGCTGAGCACTGAAGCTAGAAGGGTGCTGGTTGAATCATATGTAGCTCTTCGCAGAGGCGATGCAACTCCTGGAAGCAGGGTTGCTTATAGGATGACTGTGCGGCAGCTCGAGGCGCTGATCAGGTTGTCGGAAGCCATTGCTAGAAGCCACTTGGATACATTGGTGCGTTTTATTGTAAATCTATTTAATTACACAAACAGGAATCTTAATTCAGTTATATATTTTACAAGGAGTAAAATGTCAAAATGATCTTTTGATTTTTTGCAGGGGATTATTTAGTCCCAGGGTTTATGAAAGTGTCAAATCAGTCCCATATTTTTGTAATATGGACTGAAATAGATTCCAGAGGATTGTTTTTGCTCCCCCCAAGCCCCCCCATTAAAAGAGCTCGGGGATTAAATTAACACTTCTGTATACTCTGGGACTAAAATGATCCTCTGCAAGAAGGGTTCATTTTGACATTATTCTCATTTTACAAGATTTCCTTTACAATTTTTGTGTTTTTGTTGCCTAGGTTCTTCCAGCTCATGTTCTCATGGCAGTGAAGCTGCTCAAGACATCTATTATAAGGTGAGTAGTTTACCTCTCATGGTGGACGGTGTTTTCCTTTAGCTGCTTTTCTATCTGCTGATGTTGACGCATGAAAATCATGCCGTGCAGTGTTGAATCAAGCGAGATTGATCTATCTGATTTTCAAGATGAGGCTGAGGACAATAGAGATGGTGCTCAAGATGCTGCAGAAGCACCTTTAGATGATGGTCAAGCATCAGGAAATGGTGGTTACTGTTTAAATCAGTAATGTTCAATCTGATTTGTTACAAGGCTAAGCCTTTTTGCGCATGACATGTTACAGGTGGTGAGCAAGCAACTGATAGTCGACAGAAGAAGAAGATGGTAATAACTGAAGAGCATTTTCAAAGAGTTACTCAAGCGCTGATCATGCGTCTCAGACAGCACGAAGAGACAGTAATGCAAGATGGTACTAAACATTCACCTTATTTGTATACGTTAACGATCATTAAAACTTTTGGTTTTATTGGTGGGATCTCGATAAACATAAATTAACTTTAAAGCTGAATTAATTACATGTTTCTAGAGAACAAACCATAGAAAGTAAAGACACCTTTTTTTTTAGCTGCTTTTCTTGCATATTTAAAATGCATGAGAAGAACAAGTCCGTAAGGAAAATAAAAGCATGAATTGATCGTTTGAAATTTGCTTGCTTTCTCCATGTTGAAAATATCTCTGAGCTTTGTTTCTATTGAAAGTATTTGCTCCAAAAAAAAATCCTTTCATTTCATTGATGACGGGCTTATATAGAATCTTACAATTGCAACATTTACAAATAAATTCTTAGATTTTAGCTATTTACAAGACCCTACATTAGATACAAATCTCAACACTCCCCCTCAAGATGGAAAAAAGATATTCACTATGCTCATCTTGTCACATAACCTAGACAAATCTAATGAGATAAGTACTTTGGCGAGCCTGTCGGCGGGCCTGTCAGCCACTTGCTCTCCAGTGGCCACATGACTTAGCTTCAGTAATTTTTATTCAGTTTTTCCTTGATGAAGAAACTATCAATCTCCACATGTTTGGTTCTATCATGTTGCATCTGGTTGTTGGTGATGCTGATCGTTCACTTGTAGTACCACAACTTTATTTGAGCTCCTTGGCCCACCTTGAGCTCTACCAACAAAGCTTTCAGACACATCAACTTGGCAACTCCTAATGCCACGACCCTATACTCTGCCTCTGTTGTTAATTTCGGTACTACCAATTGTTTCTTACTCTTCCAAGAGACGAAGTTGCCCCCTACGAATATGCGATATTCAATTGTGGACCTTATGTCACTAGCACGATAGCCCAATCAGAATCACAAAAGCCCTCAATATCTAAATGACAATTCTTCTTGAATATCAACCATTTCTCTGGTGCACTCTTCAGATATCTCAGGATTTGAAAAAAAATATTCCGTCCGGACGTGCGGACGTTCGCATATCCGGACAACGAACTATCGGGCTCCACATTTCCCGTCGATGAGGTATGGCGACGTGGCGTTCGGTGGTTGGTCTTCCGAACGTGTGGTGTTCAGACGAAATATTTTCTTTAGAATCTTATACACTGCATCCATATGATCTTTTTTGGATCATGCATGTAGTGACTCACCACACTTACTGCAAAAGAGATATTGGGTCGAGTGTGGCATAGATAGATCAGATGGCCCATCAGCCTCTGGTATCTCTCACGATTAACTGATTCACATGTCTCTGTGTTGAGCTTAACCTTCTGATCAATTCGAGAGACTCCAGGTTTACTCCCTCACATACCTGTCTTCGTGAGAAGATCCAGTACATACTTTCTCTGGGATAAAACCTCATACTTTTTATGAGGGGATCCTCATATTCATGGGTCACTTCAATCCCAAGAAAATATCTGAGCTGACCTAGATCCTTTACCTCAAATTGCTTCCTCAATCTTCCCTTAAGTTGAACAATCTCTGCCTCATTATAACAATGATAATTATGTTATTCACATACATGAGTATGGTAATGTGACATTTATGTTGCTAAAAAAACACCGTGTGGTCTGTATTGATCTGCTGGTATCTCATGCCAATCATCGCCATTCTAAACTTGTCAAATTGAGATCGAGGAGATTGTTTTAAGTCATACAGTGACTTTCTGAACCTACACACCTTGCCTGCTGTCTGGGATGTACTAAAACCTGGTGCTATCTCCATATATACCTACTTTAGGAGCTTCCCATAAAAAAAAATATTCTTCACATTCAATTGGAGTCTCCATCCATCATTCACTGTTAGATAAACCAGTGTCCTCACCGTACTCTTCTTTGCAACTGGTGTAAATGTTTCATCGTAGCGAAATCCATACATCTGACTGTACATTTTTGCCACTATTGTTTTTTACCTTTCCATCTTCTAATATGGAGTTTGATTTATCGTGAAGATCCACTTGCATCCAATTGTCTTCTTCCTTGCTTGTGGTTATAAAATCTCCCTTGTTTGGTTTTTATCAAGAGCTATAAGCTCTTCATGCAGTGCCGCTTTCCATTTGGGATCTAACCCGCTAACATTTGGGTATAGAAACAGAGTCCAATGATACAATGAATGCTCCATGTAGGTAGAGGATCAAGAATGATGCACCACAAAGAAAAGAAAATGAAAAAGAGAAGAAATCATAAAAAAAAAAAAACACAAAAATTGATATGATCAATTCAACTTCCACGAGGGAGTATTCATTCAATCATCTATAAATCATAGAATCCATATTTGTTGTGTACAAATAAAAATGTTTATTGATTTTCTTGAAAATTAAATGAACTTATGAGCAAAGAAAAAGCTAGTAAGTACTCTTACATAAAATTACTCCTCTCTCCTAGATACAAACTACAAAGACAAACCAAACTAGAAGCCCAGCTAATGTTTCTTGCCATTGTTGTAATCCCACAACCATCATTTTCAGTGAAAAATCAAAATTGAGATATATACAATTTAAAAAATTTAAATTGCGAGTATTTTGTTTATCTTGCATGACACCTCAAGCTGAGATGGTATGCTGCAGAAGCCTCGAAGTATGGCTTATGAAATCCCATAAATTTGACCTCTTTATACATAAACAAACAGACACATACGAGAAACAAGAGCATGTATCCAAAGATGTATTTCTGTTTTATGTGGATTGATGTGGTATTTCCAATCTTTTATTTTGTTATGATTTTCTTGATTCAATGCTGTTGCAAAACTGGATCTCCTTTGCCTCTTGGAAGCTGAGCACTTTAAGTTTTGAAATCTCTAATTGGTTTAGCATTTTGCAATCTATAACAATAGTTAGAACTTTCCAAAGCATATTTGTTTCATAGAAAGACTACTCTATTGATACTAGAAGTGCATTTGTTATGATTTTTTTACGCCCAAAGTGGTCTTCTCGCTTTGAAGATTTTAAGGATACTATTCGACATTGGAATATACTATACGATGAAAATTTGATTCATCTGATTGATCACATGAGATTGATATAATTAGCTCAATGCTGTTGATCATGCAACACTTGCACTCTCGCTTGGAGGCCGACTCCATGCTTTCCACTAACACTTCTCTAATTATGTTCAATTTTCATGCCGCAGCGTTGATGCAAATATTAGTATTCAAGTAATATAAAGAATGAGAAATGTTTTTTGAAAGCAATAATGAACTTTAAATCATTCGTATTCAAGGTAGGTAAGGAAGACTAAGAAGAATGGAAAATACAAAGGAGCTACTATGGTAAGTTGAGAAATCTTTCACCTGATTGTAGGCATGAAGGATTGGTGAAGCTTTTGACTTAAGCTATTGATCTGCTTGCCTAACCTTCAATCTGAATCGTCCCATGGATTTTATAAGTGTTACTGGTAAATCATTACTAGACAATTTAGGCCATCTCCAAGATCATATACGACGGACTATTTGAGGGAAAGGGGGAAGGCTCTTTTTGTACAAAATACATGGTGAACTTTGGTTGGGTGTTACCTACCAACAAGTTTATGATGGATGGCTTTATAAGTGGAAACTGTTGTTTTTTAAATAAAGTGAAAAAGTAAATTGAACAAATGCTCAATTTTGGCCCTGGGAAACAATAACAAGGCCACTTGTCTTAAATTCAGGCCAGTACAACACTCATGCACATTGATCTACATGTTGCACCAAAGCTTTCTGTTTGCTTTATCTTTTCACAATTTTAGTCTTCCTTAGCTTTCTGTTTGCTTTATCTTTTTACAGTTTTAGTCTGCCTTAGAGCCCCAGGATTCAAATACGTAAAATATTTAATGTTAATAAGTTGATTTGCAGGGAGTGGTTTGGCTGGTATGAGGCAGGGGGATCTCATTGTATGGTATGTGGAGCAGCAGAATCTTCAAGGAACGTACAGTTCTACTGATGAGGTGCGTGAAGAGGTCAAATGCATCAAGGCCATCATTGAGGTATGGTTCTATCTATTTCTTTGCTGATATCAATTTACAGGCATTATTGGTGAACTCTAGCAAGTATAACTTTTCCTCAGTTAAGATTTGGAAGTTAAGGGACCTTTTGGGATCATTTTTTTATATTGATTTTATTTTGTTTACGTTTTTACTATGTTATAACATATTTAGTTGTTTTTTAAAAAACTCAAAATAATATTTATCTATCTTGAGTGTTTAAAAAAAAGTTCATTTCCTTAAACGAGAATGGAAATATGCCAAAAATGCACTAAATAAACATATTTTGTTTAATTAAAAAAAAAATGATACCACCAATAAGCCCTAAAATTTTCATTTTTTTTTTTTTTTCAAATTTACCTTCTAGGCTTTGAACTCAAGATCCTATGAACAGTAACAAGCTCTCAACCACCGGTTAATTGGGCATTGTGAAAACTAATTTTTTTTGTAACTCATACAAGTTTCTTACCTAAAAACATCTAGTCAACTTTTATAAATTTATTACTTAGCAACTTCTAACAATTTCATTATAATATCTATCATCTTCTGTCCAAGAAATTGAAGCTTGTTTTTTATCATCTTTAAAAATTATATTATGGCGATAATTCTACTGCGTTGGAACAGTCCACAACTATGATAAAACAGAGAGAGAGGTTTAAGCTTTTAGCTATAGTAGAAAGATGTTCTTGCAACAGGGAAGATAAAAGCGAAAGAAGCTGTCGTCAACCCTAGTTAGTTTGCATCACGTTGTCTCTCTTAATTATTTAGAGAAGGTGACATTTCTATTCTTAACTCTATCTGAAAGAAATCTTTGATGTACTCTTTTAGGAGATACATGGCGATGGATTAGATTTAAGTTTGTAGGATTTAGTAAATCCACTAAATTCGGATTTAGGAAATCCTGGTTAAGATTAAATATCAAAAATTGTTTAGCAACAGATTTTAGTAAATTTAGTTGAATCCTGTCATACTGTTTGACAACCTGTATTAGGATTTAAAAGGTTGTTATGTTGATTAGAATAAAAAAATCATAATTAAACTTTAATTACTTTATTAATATGATTAAAATTAATTAAATTCAATTTAAATTTTAATTTATGAAATCCGCACCTTTATTTTCTTCAATTTAAATCTTTTAGCATATTGATTGCGACTTTATTGTGTCTTTATGCTTAGTTTTTGTTCAACTTCACTCTGAAAATTTATCATCTTGCTAACATCCTTATAACAATTCTATTATTCAAAATTAATCGAATGCAGAGGCTGATACACAGGGAAGGCCATCTGATTTTGATAGATGATGGATCAAGTTCAGCTGCAGCCTCGACCGAAGCCGGAGAGGCGAGGAGACCTTCTAGTGAGAACAGGATTCTAGCTGTGGCTCCTAATTATGTAATTGATTGAATTGAAGCTTTAGCTCTTAGAATGAGAAATTGAAATTTCTTGTTATTGTTTAGTAATATGGTTTGTAATATTGTATTAACAATACAATATTAGCTTAAAAAAATGGAGGCTGGCAGATTGAGATTTGCAGTTTATATGAATTTGTTGAAGTAAGTAGGGGCATTTTCATACATGCCACCCGATTCTTATGTTATGTACATATCTAATACCTAATTTTATTTTTACAGTAACATCAAAAGTCTCATTATTTATGTATTTATTAAATAAACTTTTCCAAATTGGAGGCCATGAAAGCTTGGCAAAAGTACAAATTTGCGATCCTCGTGCCCACCGACACGCATTTAAGTCGACAATTAAAAGCAATAGGAGTGTTTCCATGTACTTTCTTATATCATACTCTTTCCATTATTCATTTCTAAAGTGAATTAATATACTAGTTTTGTTGTCTATTATTTTAATTTTAATTATATTAAAAGAAGCAAACTCAATGATAAATGTATAAAATAAAAGTTCCATCTTCGTGGACAATTTACCAAAAATATTTAGCTATAATTTTTTAGAAAACTTACTTCAAATCGCCGGACATGGCCAAAGCAACTTTTTCTTTCTTTTTCTTCCCAAAGAAAATTGTTCTTAAAAATAGAATTCTTTTTTCTAACTAAATAAATTTTTTTTGGCAAAAAATAAATTTTTACAATTTCTTGCTCATCACTCCCCAAAAAAAAAAAATAAATAAAAAAATCAACAATTATTTAACATTCCATTAACCAACGAGAGTGCCAAATTATGACAAAATATTATATAAGAGTACTGATAGATATATAAATATATCAGTACTCAATAAAATTACATCATATCATGCATTAGAAATCGTGATCTAATATTTTTTTTTCAAAATTATAGAGAGAAATAAGGAGCGCATATTACGTCAGGACTCCAAAGGTAAAGATACATTCAGATTCAAATAGTCGCAGTGCTATAAGAATATTCCGCTGTGTTACAGGAATATTCTTATTTGTAAAAAAATAAATTATTATTTGAGTATTATGTGATGTTATTCGATTTTATTGTAGTGTTATTAAAATGTTCCCCTCGTTGCTTGATTTGGGGCCATGTTATTCGACATATTCTCATGTTATTTTAATTTCCACCCCGAATCAAATAGCATGGGGGAATATTCCAATAACACTTCATTCTCCACAAATAACGCTATGAAATATTCTTATAACATAATGACTGTTATAATCCGAAGGTAGCTCCAAGTCCTCACTAAATATTTTTTGAGAAACAAGAGAGGAATCCACAAGCAATCGCTGATAAAAATTTAACATGAGACCAAGAAATACGATCTTAAAATCTGAAGAACAATGTTCTGCTCAAAATGAAACTGAAGCCAAAAATCATGATAATTACTTAAAGATGGAGCTGAAGCCAGTTTTGCCGCGTTACAATTTCCTCACCAAATTGCCGCAGCTCTGATCCGAGCTCCCACCTTACCGCCGCCATCGCCTCCCCCCTCACCTTAGCCGCCATCTCCGCCAACCTTTCATCCCTCATCACCTCCTTCACCTTCATCGAAATCTCCTCCGCACCCACCACTCTTCCTTCCTTCCCAGCCCACTTCTCGCCACCAACGCCGCATTCACCCTCTGATCTCCAATTCTCGGCCATGCGAGCATCCTCACCCCCGCCGCCGCCGCCTCCATCACCGAATTCCACCCACAGTGGCTCATGAATCCGCCAACCGCACGGTGACCAAGAACCGCCTCCTGCTCCACCCACTCCTTCACAACTAATCCCCTGCCTTCCACTCTCTCCGCATACCCTTCCCCCAATAATTCCCCGATCTCCACCGCCTCGTCTCTGTCCACCTTCGCGCTTTTCACCAACCATAAGAACCGGACACCCGCTCATCTCCAGCCCAGCCCCCAATTCTCTGATTTGCTCCCTCGACATCGCCGTACGACTTCCGAAGCTCACGTACAACACGGATTTCTCCGGCTGTTCGTCGAGCCAGCGTAGTGCCGGCGAGGCAAAAGATGGCTGCTTTTTTACTGGAAGAAGAGGGCCTAAAGCAATTACCGGCGGGTATCCGGCGATGACCTCGCCGGAGTTGAGCGCAGCGAGTATATCAGGCTCCAAGGCCAAAAATGTATTGACGAGGATACCGTTTGCCTGAGTGAGCGCGCGACCGTTCTCCACGAATAGGGTAGTGAAGAGATGGTTGGGGTCATGAAGGGGCTGCGGGAGGGAGGAATTTGGAATCTTGAGAACGCCACCGGCGATGTTGATGTCAGCTCCGGTTGGATAAGGGAGGGAGTGGAAAACGGAGCTGAGAGCGAGCATGGAAGCAGAGGAGGTGAAAAGGACGAAGCAGGGGATATTTGCGGCTGCGGCTGCTGGAAGAAAGGAGGAAGCGATGGCGACGTCTACGATGAGGGAGGAGAAAGTTGGTGAGCAGGTGGAGATGAGAGCAGGGAGGAGGTGGGCGGAGCGGCGAACGGATTCCATTTGGAGGAAGAAGGGGTCGGCAGAAGGAACGAGGGAGGGGTCAAGAGGGGTGAGAGGGAAGTCCAGGAGGAGGGAAGATGGGAGGGAGGAGAGGAGGATAGATTCGGCGTCAGAGATGGTGGGGCGGAAGGCGAGGAGCGAGATGGAGATGCGGCGGTCGGAAAGTGCGGTGGCGAGGCGGACAAAGGGAACGTGGTGGCCCATGCCGGAGCTCGGAATGAGGAGCACGCGGGAGTGTTTACTATCGCAGGAGGACATGGCGGCGGAATTGCTGGATGGATGATGCTAAGCAAAGCTGGACGGCGTTGCTATTGGGCAGAACAAAGGCAGAGGACTGGTAGGTTGGAAATCTCATTTTATAGTATTTTAAGGGTACAATATGTAAATACAAAGAAATCGAGTGGTATATGTGTAAATTTTCTTGTCAATTTTCTTTGCACATTAATTTTAGCCCGATGGGAAGGAGTGGACTAGAACTATCTTCAAATGCCATTCAGCTAGCTCCACGTCCACAGAAAGTCTAGAGGCATTGTGGATCAAATTTCAATCGATTTAAATTTATACCACAAATCTTACGTATTTACAGATCTAACATATAAACATTCGTCTAGGGCTGTAAAACGGCTCGTTGTTTCCCAACAGTTCGTGTTTGCGTCGTCCATTAAGCTTAACGAGCCGAACCCGAACAAATTCTTAAGCTCGAAATATAAACGAGCAGAACACGAACACATATTTGTTTTCTTTTGTTCTGCTCAAATTGGCTCTTAAAGAAATGAATAAATTAATAAATCAATAAAAATATAAATATACTCAATAATCCGGGGTGTTATTAACACCACAGTGTTATTAGAGTGTTATTCATGGTGTTATTGGTGTTATAGTTGTTATTTTGTGGAATATGTTTTACCGAGCTTATTTCGAGCCGAATACGAGCCGAACACGGACAATAATATCTTATTTGAACCGAACACGAACATAATGTTCACGAGCCATTATGAACACGAGACGACGCTCAAGCTCAGCTCGTTTACAACCCTACATTCATCTTTATATTTGAACCACTTTGGTGCTATAAACATATGCATATGAATGAAGAAAAAACAAGTGATAATAGTATTTTTTGACGTGATATTAAAGATTTAAGTGCAATGGATGTAAATATGAAGGTATAGATGTTAGACATGTAAATACATAGGAATTATGTGATATGTATATAAAAGCAGTAAAATAATTAACGATTTAATAATTATATATAAAAATATATAGGATATTTTGAATTGTATAAATATTAATGAGAATAAGACATTGGATCCTGATTTATTGGTGGACATGTCTACTATACTTTTAACACTTGAGGAAAAAGAGAGAGGACTCACGTGAACTTAGCTTGATCTTTAGAGAATGGACATTTTAAAAAGTATCTCCCCAAAATTTTTGAACTCAATATTTATAATTTTTGGGATACTTTTGGCTTAAGCACATGAACTTATATAAAATAATAATGAAATATAGATATATATTAAGTTATTTGTGACCATGATGCTAAAATATGGGGGTCATGCCCTCTGTTATTAGATCTCACCATTTTCTGTAACTTATATGGAGGATATGACGCCTTAGGGCAAGTTGTAAGCTGAGAATAGTCGAACTGGTAATTTGCCATATGAGTTCATTCTCACGGAAATTATCTGTCTTTGTTGCGTCAAATAGCAAGTTGAAGATGCATTAGGTAAATGATGTTAGTTATGTCGGACTACCTACTTAAACAAGCCCAATCTAAAAATTCTTCACGGGGCTTACCAGGTAGCTATCAAGTTATGATTATGTCATCAATTTTTTATGCCCATAGTGGGACTTAGAGTTAAATTTGGTTCACTATAGAATGATGTTTTAAGTACAGAGTAAAGTGTGTCAATTTTGAAGATGAGGAGATTCACCTCGGTTAATGTTTATGAATTTTAGGAAAATTAATAGTTTTGAATATAAAATGTTTCAAGAACTAGTGTTTATCCCTTACTATTAAGAAAATCTAAAGAAAGAACTAAGTTATATCTCTAATTATTAAAGAGTTGACATTGGATTTATATCTGAATCATGCCTAAGGAATAGAGCTCAGACGAAGAAAAAGTGAATAGTTTGAGGAATGGGATAGAAAACCTATGTGAGGAAGAGAAATTAGAGAAAAATTCACTGGTTTTGAGATTTCTTTTTTCTTGGACCAAAAAATCAAGAAAAAAGAGTCCTCTATTAGATTTAAGTCCCTTTACTTAAAGTGGTTAGACTTTTTGTAATAGTTGTATTTGTGCCTGTCCCACCAAAAATTTGAAGCGAAGAGCCCTTTGAGTCTTGGTCGCCCTTTATTAGCTATGATTTATAACTTTGAGAAGAATGGACATAAAGTCAATTCATGTGAAGAATAATTAACTAACTTCCAACATCTTACTTCAATTGTAAGGCACATGCTTATCCTTGAACATTCGCCCCTGATCGCTCGACCATCTATCACTTCGCTCCAATCACTCAGCTTTGGTTACTTATGGTTTGTTCTCAATATTTTTATTTTTTAAGAAGTCCTTAGTTTGTCTATTATCTTATAATTCTCTTTTCCGAGTAAATCTCTTTTCTGAATCAAATGAATAATTTGGATAAGACAGGAATCAAAAGATAAGGACATACGCTAATGAAGACAAATGAGAGAAAAAAACGTGGAAAATTTTCATAAGGTAAACCTTGTGTGATAGCCCAAAAGCGTACATCCAAAACATGATCAAGACACGAAGGTAATGTACATATAAATATTCAATATGATTCAACACATCGTGACTGCTCGAGCGAGGTACAAATGATGGAACGACGGACACTGAAAAACGATTTAAATACCATACAACATGCAAATGACAAACTTGTGTCAAATGCAAAATGATACAAACGAGTGGACACAAATTTTGCACTCAATAGGTTCAATGGCTATATAGCATGACCCAAATTGAGCACAATGTGAAATGTTTACAACTTTCAAATGTGATGCCATAAGAGGTGATGTGGAATATTCTCCGTTTAGGAGATTTAAATGACGACAGGCTAACCGTGCTAGCCACCACTCATCAAAAAATATGCAAGTATCAAGCCACACACATATGGTGGCATATGTGTGCGTTGATACTGCAAGTGTTGGTGCTCTAGGAGACACCACGTGCAAGTAAATGCCAAAGGCAGACTTGATTTCTCATGCAATATATATATATATATGAATCCAAGCACGCAGTCATGGCATGCAATAGATACAAAGACAAGCAGAAGAAGCACAATATGTAAATGAGATTGGCCTTTTAACCCATTGGATCAACCGGGGCGGTCAGCAGGGTCTCACGACCAACGGGGTTTGGTCGGGCCAAGTGGCTGATCAAACCAAAGTTTGGTTGATCGGATTTTGGTGGCAGACTGAACCAAATTAATCATCTGATTAGGCCTTGATGAACAATTAAAACCAAAGATTGATTAAATGAGCCTCAGTGGTCGATCAAACTAAATTAATTGGTCGATCGGGTCGGGATAGCCGATCGAAGCGAAGTGGTTGATTGGCCTGGCCATGGTAGCCAATCAAACCAAATTGATCAGTTGATCGAGCCTTGGTGGCTGATTGAAATTGACGATTGGTTGATTGAACCAACTTGATAGGTCAATCAGTCCAGGTCGGCTGATCAAACCAAAGTGGTTTGTTGATCAGGCCTTGATGGTCGATCAAACCAAATTGATTAGTCGATCGAGCTGGGGCTGCCAATTGAATCAAAGTGTTTGGTTGATAGGGCTTTAGTGGCCACCAAATTGATCGGTCAAACGAGCCAGGGTGGCCGATCGAACATAAATGGTTGGTTGACTGGACCTTGGTGGCCCATCAAACCAAAATGATTGATTAATCTGGCCTTGGTGGCCAACTAAAACTAAATATTGGTTGATTAGGACTTAGCGGTCGATCAAACCAAATTGGTGGGTTGATTGAGCTGGGGGCCGATTGAATCAAAGTGGTTGGTTGACTGGGTCTTGGTGGCCGATCAAACCAAATTGATCGATCGATCGATCCAAGATGACCAATCAAACTGAAGATGTTGGTTGACTGGACCTTGGTGGTTGATCGAGCCAAATTGATCGATCAATCATGTCGGGGCAACTGATTGAACCGAAGTGGTTGGTCGATCAGACCTTAGTGGTTGATCAAACCAAATTGATCGATCGATCATGTCGAGGCAGCTGATTGAACCTAAGTGGTTGGTCGATTGGCTTGGGGTGGCCAATTGAACCAAAGTGCTCATACGATTAAGGTGACATGCAAGATACACAAGCAATGATCTGAAGGCATTTGATATCAATTTTAACACATCCTACTCCTCTCACATAGGATTCTAGGCTTTGATTTATGGATTTAGAGTTAGGCTACCTCCAAATTTGATGAATGATGTGAGGAGTTTACTTCAACTCTTTAAAGAAAGCTCCTCAACAACTTGATGAATGAAATGTTCAAGGGGCTTTTTCATCCTCTAAGCTCTTGATGCTCCAATCTCTCCATATAATGATCTAGAGGTTTAGAAGAATAATAACTCGAGGAGTCGTAGGGATTTAATCAACAAAAAGCTTCCTAAGATATGGGGCTTTTTCTATAACACAAAATTCAGACCTAAAGCTTATTAGGAATAAAAAATGCAAGAGTTTTTTAATGGTTTTAACCACATCAATGTTGATGAAATATTCTCTTTGATTGCTCCTAGCTCCTACCTTGTTGGGAGGAAACTCTCCTGCTTCTTTGGGAGAGAAGAAGCTTTTTCTTCTTCCAAGTCGGATGAAGCTCTCCTCTTCCAAAAATGTGGTGATTTTCCTTCAAGAAGCTTCTACAAGGCCTCCCTTATGTTTTTTTTCAAGAGATTGAAAAAAGATTTAGGGCTGAAGATGAGGAGGAACAAGCTTTTCTTCCCTTTTTCTCAAAGCTTCCTCTCTAATGGTACGGCCTCCCCAAATACCACCCGAAGCCTCAAATGTTCTGCCCTAGGGAGTAGATATCCCTTGGCTCAAGGCAAGGAATGACCACTTGTCTCATTAGGAAGGAATTTAGATTACTCCTCATTCCATTTTTATGTTAAAAAAAGGTAAAAAGAGTTATTTAGAGTTTGAAGATCATTAATGATAGGATTTCGGGGACCGGTTGCGCGAAATAGCACGAGCTAGATGAACTGACATGGTCAACCCATAGATAGGTGTAGTCATGTCAATTAAAAGCTGTCACGAGTGTGATTTAGGTGCGGTCATGCCCGAGATCCGACTTAAGTATGCAGACTCATTGTCTAGACGGATGAAGATGAGATGGAGAGTGATATGGTGGAGTAAACTTGGTTGATGGAGGTTGTCGATGGTATTGAGTGTGCCCCATCTAATCCAAAACGCATTAAAACCTCACCACCTTCACCACAGGTTGTCAGCCTCGATGAGAGATATGCAACCAATTAGTTTCCTCCAATAAACAAGGACAGTCTCCCAAGTGAGAAGATTGTTGAGGATGGGTTGGAGTCGGTCCTCCTCCAGGCGGGGCACAAAAGTAAAGACAAGGCACCGATGAAGGGGGTGCCCTTTTGTAAGTGAAGAAGGTCAACTGATCGAAGGAGGACTTTATTGAATGGGTTCGTTAAAAGAGAAAATAGATGGTACGTTTGAGCTGGAGCAGTTATTAAGCCTTGGTGGATATGCCCAAGAATTGGAGTTGTGTGAGTCCTTATGTCGTTTGGTATGCTTTTAGTCCGAGCAATACTACATTCTCTTTGTCCATGCCTACCTCCTCTGAAGGGGATGGACTTGAGTTTTTTAGCATTGGAGGTCATTCATCTTCTGACAGTCGGATGCCAGGCTACCCACACAAAGGGGTGTTAATTTAGCTTGAAGATCATCAATCTCTCAAAAAGTGATTCCAACTTTAATTGGAATTGAGACCGAGCTATGCGTCAAAACCTGGGATAAAATTTTTTTAAGACTTTTTTTGAGCCATACACGAATGGGCTCAAACTAGCTCGAGACCAGCTTGAATTATTTTTTATTTATAAATTATATATAATGCTAAATAAAATCAACTACATCGAGATACAAGCCAAATTCGAATTGGAATGGATCCAAATAAGTCAATTAGAGCCATTTTGTTTCAGTTTCGACCTGGTCGAGTCAATTTTGAGTTGTAATGGACCCAAATAACTCAAATATGAGTTTGCTAGTTTCGATTTAGAGTCCAATCAGACTTGATTTAATTTAAAGCCAAGTTGTTTTGAAATTGAACATAAAGAGCCATGAGTCAATTTTGAATCTAACTCAATTAACTTCAAGCCCTATCTGGGCTCAAAATCTCGAGCCCGACCTTGCTTGGCTCAAAATTGGCTCTTTAACATATCTACCCACACCTTGAGGTCTGAGTTCTGGCACCTAATAAAAGAAGGTAGAGGGAGACAAGGATTTGATAAAAGTTGCGGATTTGTCAATTATATGATGAGATTTTCCTCATTTTCTTTGAATGTAAAATATTTGTTGTTACAAAAGAAATGAAAACTTACATTTTGTTGATTGATGTGAATGATATAGCTAGTACAAGATATTTTGGAATCTAGTATACGATGAATGCAAATAAGTCTCATTGTAACAGGAGCTTGATAATAGAACATATGAAATTAATCTGTCTCAATAAAGCCACCAATTAGATGTCAGCTATATATTTGCTCACTCGATCGAGTCCTGACACGATTTGTTCTCTATTTCAATAAAATGAATATCATGAATATAGTTGCGTCTGACTTGAATCTTACACCATTCATACTCCATTGCGGTCTCTCGGCTAAGTTGTCATCTTATACGGACTGTGTCTTACGCCATATTCATTGGAAAATATAGTTGACAAACATGCACATAATTTGGCACGAGCTGCTTAACGAGCCGAACACGAGCTGCTTACGAACAACGAGCCAAATTGACAGCCCTAGGTGACAAACATGCACATAATTTGGGAGTAATTTGGAAGAAAAATAAATATAAACTAAATATCAACATAAAAACTCAATATTTATTTATTCGATAATCAGGGAACACCCAGCTCATAAGCTGTTGCCATTACAATTTATTTGCCAAATAGCGCCAACTCAGATCCGAGGAGCCACCTTCCTGAGCTGCCGAAGTCGCCTTCGCCCGCACCTTTGCCGTCGTCTCCGCCAACTTTTCATCCCCCATCACCTCCTTCACCTTCACCGAAATCTCCTCCGCAGCCACCACTCTTCCTTCACCTCACCCCCGCCGCCGCCGCCTCCATCACCGAATTCCACCCACAGTGGCTCAAGAATCCGGCCACCGCACGATGACCAAGAACCACCTCCTGCTCCACCCACTCCTTCACAACTAATCCCCTGCCTTCCACTCTCTTCACATACCCTTCTCCCAATAACTCAACGATCTCCGCTGCCTCCTCTCTGTCCACCTTCGCGCTTTTCACCACCCAAAAAAACCGACACCCGCTCATCTCCAGCCCAGCCCCCAATTCTCTGATTTGCTCCCTTGACATCGCCGTACGACTTCCAAAGCTCACGTACATCACCGACTTCTCTGGCTGTTCGTCGAGCCAGCGCAGTGCCGGCGATGCCAAAGATGGCTGCTTTTTTACTGGAAACAAAGGACCTAAAGCAATCACCGGTGGGAGTCCGGTAATGACTTCGCCAGAGTTGAGCGCAGCGAGTATCTCAGGCTCCATCGAGAAAAAAGTATTAGCAATGATACCGTTCGCCTGAGTAAGCGCCCGGCCGTTCTCCATAAATTGGGTTCTGAAGAGATGGTTGGGGTCATGAAGTGGCTGCGGGAGGGAGGAATTCGGAATCTTGAGAACGCCACCGGCGATGTTGACGTCAGCTCCCGTTGGATAAGGGAGGGAGTGGAAAACAGAGTTGAGAGCGAGCATGGAAGCAGAGGAGGTGAAAAGGACGAAGCAGGGGATATTTTCAGCGACGGCGAGTGGAAGAAAGGAGGAAGCGATGGCGACGTCTACGATGAGGGAGGAGAAAGCTGGCGAGTAGGTGGAGATGAGAGAAGGGAGGAGGTGGGCGGAGCGGCGAATGGCTTCCATTTGGCGGAAGAAGGGGTCGGCGGAAGGGAATAGAGAGGGGTCAAGAGGTTTGAGGGGGAAGTCAAGGAGGAGGGAGGATGGGAGGGAGGAGAGGAGGATAGATTCGGCGTTGGAGACGGTGGGGCGGAATGCGAGGAGCGAGATGGAGATTCGGCGGTCGGAAAGTGCGGTGGCGAGGCGGACAAAGGGAACAAAATGGCCCATGCCGGAGCTCGGGATGAGGAGGACGCGACGGAGTTTGATGTCGCCGGAGGACATGGCGGCGGATTTGCGCGACATATTCTTGCAGGGGACAGTCTGTATGAGTCGGTAGATACAGATACAGCGAAATTTCCCAGATACAGGGGACTGTCGTTATCTTATCAGCATTTATAACGAGAGGTCATCGTAATTTGAAATAATAAATTACTATATTACTATATTACTATCTAGGCTCGGAACAAATCATGTAAGAACATTTTTTATAGAATGGATTTTAAAATTATACATAAAAAAAAATTCGAATCGAGTAATCTTTTAAGCTCATTTAACAATATAAAAAATCTACTACAACAATCAATAATTTATTCATAGTTGATGGTAGTTGTTAGCATGTGATTGAATCTAGCTCAGAGGTCAGGCTGTTAAAATGGTTCGTTGTTCGCAAATTACTATTGTTCGACTCGTTAAAAATCTCGTGTTCGTCTCCTTCGCTAAGTTAACGAGCCGAACGCGAACAAAGATTTATTTGTTCGCACTCGGCTCGTTTTGGCTCGAAATACTACTCATCAATTATTTATCTATATATTGATGAATAGTATATTTTAAAATTTTAATTGACTACAAGTCTATAAAAAATTATAATCAATTAAAAGTATTAATCAAGAAAATATAATAAAAATTATTAAATTAGATCGAGAAAATGTTCTAATATAAACAATAATTTCAAAATCTTGCACCAATCCTTTACATCTTATGGCAGGGCTGTCAAAACGAATTTTTGTTCGTGAACGGCTCGTGCTCGGCTCGTTTACACCCCTACTTAGACGTGGGGCATGGCCAATTTAATTATATAAGCAATGCTTATATATTATAAAAGAAAAATAAAATCTTTGTTTAATAAGAATATATATTAAAAATATAGAAGTGATAAGATATAATAAAATTCTATGCAAATAACTCAAAAAGATACCAAAAAAAAAAAAAAAGAAAATCATTAGGTGTGACCTAATTAAAATAATTTACTATTTAATTGACATTACAATATTCCTAATTCTCTCCTTAAATAAAATGAATGAGATTACAAGTCTAATTCTCTCCTTAAATAAAATGATGGATTCAAAGCAGATCGATCAACACCAGACAACTTGCATCTTTGCTTTACCCATCAGTTTGCGGGTCTCTAAGAGAGGTGAGAAGGTGAACACTTCCTACGCGAACGAGCTAGTATTTTATTAGGACAAGTTCCAACTCGACCTCCAAATGCCCCTCTACGATGAACCGGCGAACATCTCTGATTCGAAGCGATTTTTCTAGCAAAGTAATCCCAAATTTAATCTCCATCCTTATGAACATGTTCATGCTTTTGCGTCGAATGGTCACCGCCTAGTCGATCAAATTTTCAATGTTCTATGTTCTTTGCGCACCTACTTGAAGAAATTTGTTCAATTTACTTCGTGGCCCAAGATTCATTATAAAGATTTGGAGAACAAAGTAAAAGATTGAAAGCACAAGTAGTATTTTGTTTATATAGAAGCTGACTGCCCAACAGGGAAGAGTCCGCTTCCACACCGATGATGACTAAGTCGGAGCCACCTTACAACTTACTACAACAAGCATATCGAGTCATGTGCACGATGCTCAACATGCACAAGGTACTTGAAGGAGAGGTTATTGACGATGTGTAAGCATCATACATCTGTGGTGCCATATCTGAGGAAGGGTAGGCGTTTGTTGATGCTATTCAAGAGGAGATTGATGCGGCCTTGTCCAAGAAGGGTCAAGAGGGGAGACCGAGATTGGCTTCAATCTCAATGAGTATGAGCAAAAAATTATAGTCAATTTTCTTTTTGATTGAAGGATTAAGGCTTTGTTGTTGTTGTTGTTGTTGTTGAATTTTCTTTTTGATTTTTCCCTCTACTATATTTGTTCAAAAGGTGGGCTGGGCTGATTCTAATCAAGAGAAAGGGGTATAACGAGAGACTGATGAGTAATTTTATCTCTCTTATAAATACACCAACGAATGATGAGAGCAAGAAGACGACTGAAAATGAGATGGGGAGTGATGGAGACTAATATAGTGGAATCGAGTTGGTTGATTGTGGCTGTCGATGGTATTGGGGGTGCCCCATTAAATACAAAACTCATTAGAACCTCCCCACCTTCACCACCTTCACCACCTTCACCACCTTCACCACCTTCACCATAGGTTGTCAAACTCCATGAGAGATTTGTAACCAAGCAGTCTCCTCCAATAAGCAAGGGCAAGCTCCCAAGTGAAGGGATTGTTGAGGAAGGGTGGGAGTCCGTCCTCTTCGAGGCAGACCACAAAAGGAAAGACAAGGCACCAATGAAGGTGGTGCCCTTTTGTAAGTGAAGAAGGTTAGCCGATCAAAGGAGGACTTTGTTGGAATGGGCTCCTTAGAAGAGAAGAGATATGGTGCGTTTGAGTTGGAGCGGTCGTTAAGCCTTGATGGATATGTCGAAGGATTGGAATTGTGTGAGTCGCCATGTCGTTTGATATGCGTATAGTCTGGGCAGTTTTATCTTCTCTCCGCCCATGTCAGCCTCCTCTGAAGGGGTGGACTTGAGTTTTTTAGCATTGGAGGTCACTTGTCTTCAGACAGTCGAATGACAGGTCACTCACACATAGGGGTGTTAATTTAGTTTGAAAATCATTAATCGCTCATTTTAGAATTTTAACTCGGATTGAGGCCATATCAAAAGAAACAAGCCAAGCTATGCGTCAAAACCTTGGATGAAATATTTTTCGAGCTGATTTTGAGTCATAAACTCCGTTCGCAATTTATTATATTACGCGGCCGTGGGATCGAACCAGCGGCCTGCGTTCTCAAAAAGAAAAGTTACGTGCTTATCCCTTCTCCTCCCTCGCTCGACCTTGTCTGCCCTAGATTGCCTTTGTTCGTCATGCGTTCCGCTGGTTTCACCCTCCATCCTTCCTCTTTCTCATTTTTCTTCTACATCGGAAGCCGGTCATCTAGCCGTCTCTACTTCCCTTCTCTTAACGTGATGTGCCTGAGCGGGCCAATGACAATTGCCATTAGCTTCTACCTTTTTTTTTTGTTTATAATGCTTTTAATGGCTTTGACTTCCCGTTGAGCTCCTTTATCGTCGTATTTTTAGCAGATTTTCTTTCTCCAATGCCATCCATTGAGATGGCCCAATTTTTGTGGTTGGGAGTCTGTTCTCTTGTATTGGATTAGGTCAAAACCAATTTATTTCATTGATTAGGGAATGTGCTTCATTGCTATGTCTGGCTGGGGCTGATTGCTATGAAAGGCTTATTAGATTGGAAAAACAAAGCGTTATCAAGGTGTTGGCGTCCTGCTTCTGGCTGATTGCTATGAAAGGCTTAAAAGAAATTTGATTACTTTTTTAAATGCACCAATGATATATATATATATATATATATATATATATATATATATGTTCATATGAAAAGACACATACGCATGTATACATTGACTAAATGCTTCATTTTGCTTTTATAAAGGGTAATTCAACAATTATCTGTTAATATACTCAACTGATAGAGACAAACATATTCTTAAACATCTTGCTCTGCTACGATCACGAGCTGCTGTTCGTAAACATCTTGCTCTGCTACATTAAACTACAAAATTCGTTATGGAAAGACCAAAGACTGATTGTCGGCTCGCAATTGGCTCGTTAAATAAAAATTGAGAAAAATAGATGTAAAGTGTGGGATTCGAACCTGGATCAAATATATAAAAAAAGACACTAAACACGTTGTCACATGAGGTGTTATGATTTAAAATTAGACATAAATATATATAATATATTATTATATAAATAATATATGTAATATATTTTTATATAAAAAGTTATATAATTTTTTTTCGAGCCATTTCGAGCCGAACACGAGCGAACAAA